TTTTTCGTTTCCCATCGCCACACACTGGAAATAATACATGAATCTTAGCAACCCCAGTAACTATTGGAGGATGGCATAATCCACATTCTAATTAGGTTACTAGCAGTTACTTGACCCGGGGTTTTTATTGGGAGTGGTGAAATATCAACAATGCCTATGTCTCACTTTTTTAGTCAGGACAGCACAGCAGACCACAGGATTTTAGAATAGATAAAAACTGTTTAACCTCACAAAAAAACCATGTGCTTTTTCTGAGAGCCTCCCCCCCACCCCCCCCACCCCCCACTGGAGGAAGCCTTTGGAGTATGGCTTTGCACAGTCATGCCCATACAATGTCTGTTGTGTGGGTGGTGTATGCTTGCTCAGGCTTATGACAATGACGATTTGGGAAAGGAAACTTCTGGTGCTCAAAGTGAGTAAGAGGTTTCACTTGTACTAAAATCACAAAGCAATCTTACTTCTACTGATGCTTTTGACTTAGATGGAAAAGTTTTTTTTTAAACATTATTTTCAGTGTCAAGCGTTTTTCCATTTGTGTTTTGTTTTGTGTTTATTTGTATGGATGCGTGTTCTAATGTTAATTGTGTTAAAATCTGATGTTTCTGATACTGTATTTAATTCAATTGAGGGGCAATTTATGTACCATTGACTTGCATCCATTTAAAAGGTACAGTTTGATGAGTTTTGGCATATTACTGTGAATCATCACAAACAAGATACAGAACATTTCCGTTATTCCCCAAATATTCCTCCAGGTATATTTGCAGTTCATCCTTGCCTTTGTCCCTATCTGTAGGCAACCACTGATCTGCTGTTTGGCACCACAAGACAGATGAGCTAACATTTGATCTTAGTAGTGTTCTTTTTGTGTAGTGTATAGTGTATGCTCTTTGTGTCTGCTTGTTTCACGCAACAGAATGAGTTTGAGAATCATCAAGGTTGCTGTGCGTTCCTTTTGTTGCTGAGTAGTATTCCATGTATCACGGGTGATACAGATCCATGTATCTGTTAATTGATATTTAGGTTGTGTCCAGCTTTTGGCTGCTGTGAATGAAGCTGCTGTGAGCATTCATGCACAAGTCTTTGCATGGACATATGTTTTCATTTCTCTTGAGTAAATACCGAGGATTGGGATGGTCAGGTTGTATGGTGGGCACATACTTGACTTAAAAAAAAAAATGCCAGGAGTTGTCCAGTGTAGTTTCCACTACCACTGACAATATAATTATTGAAAATAGGTAAAGAATTTTTTACAATTATTTTTGTCATTAAGTTATATTCCACTAGAGCCATACAGTCAAATTGCTGTGTTTTGAAAGTCAGTTGGAATAACTGCTCTATATGTGGTTATGCAACAAATTCTACGTGCAGTTAGGTTCATTTGTTTCACTTTGCTTCGTAATTTTAGTGTTTACAAGTAATTTGGTTATGCTTTATAATTATGGAAAGTGGTTACATAGTTCCAAAGTCAAATCTATAAAATCGGAGACATATCATTTCTATACCGGTTCCTATTTCATCCATTTAGTTTTGAAATTATAAGCAAGGAAAGAAAGAACACACACACACACACACACACACACACACACCCTTCTCATCATAGCTTAGATGAACAGTAGTGTACTATATACAATTTTGTATATCCTGCTTTTTCTACTTAACAATATATGTTGGAGATCCCTTCATAATAGTTTATAGAACTATCCCTCATTCCTTTTAAGAGTTTCATTATGTTTCATTTGGTGGATGTACCATAGTTTAGAAAACTAATTCCCTATGAGTGGCCATTGGGTTATTTCTAAAAGTCTTTCTATCACAATGTCGTGGTGAATAGTCCTGTTCATGTACTCTTTTCGTACTGTTGCGTGTATCTTTAGGATAGATTCTGAGAATTGGTATTGCTGGGTCAGAAGAGGAATGCATATGTAATTTTGCTATATATTGCCAAACATTCTACATTCCCATCAGCATTATATCGGCATGCCTATCAGGGAGCTGTGCAAACCACTCTTCTAAGCACTGAGGATGTGGAATGAAAAACATAGATGAAAATCCCTGCCTTCATGGAGCTTACAATATAGCAAGGGAGCGATGAGTTTGGCCCACGAATTTCGGCAATTGTCTCCAACCCTCCTCCTTGGCTTAACTATTCCTATTCCTATTCGGATCCAGAATTCATAATGCTTGTGTCCATATGCCATTATAATCCTGATTCTATTTTCTTGCCATTTGATGTACTCTTTCAGACCTTGGTCTCTCAGTGTTTCCCCAAAAACATGGCTTGGACTTGCTTCTTTGACTCTCTTAATTTAGATTAATTTGGGTAGTGTATTTCTTACGATCCAACCCTTGGTTTCTATTCAGTGTAGTAGGACCTACTTGCACAAGAATAATTGGGCAATTAGAGCAGCTTACAAGCTGGGCGGCCTTGGACAAATTGCTTCATCACCATGAGTCTACATTTCTTTATCTGTAAAATGACGTTAAAATACTTGTCACTATGGGGAGGCTGAAATAAATAACATATGCTAGTTACCCAAAATTTGTCCCTTGTGCAAATGCCCAAAAATTGTTATTTTAAAAACAATGTTTTATTAAAGAAAATGGTAGCTCAGAGGAGCAGTGGGTTCAAAATTTCTCCAGAAAAATACTGTGCACTAAATCTTACCCTAAAATGTTTCTCTTTGCCAGTCAGGTACACCCACTCTAGATGCACCAGAAGTGTATCATTTCCTTGTGAACACTTTCTAGGAGTTTTGTGCCTTCCACAGTGAGAACCTGCCAATATCCAGCCTCAATTCTAATCACACATCTGTTGTTTCACACTTAATGGCAGCACTGAACTATTCGTAATTCTTTGAAAGTCCCATGTAGCTTTCTATCTTCTAAATGACTTTCTTTCTGTGTGCAAAAAGATTTCCTCCTGTCTCCCTGCAGAACTCATCTACTGAGATCCAGCCCAAATATCACCTGTTGTAGAGAATCTTCCCTAATCTTTTACCCTTGCTCTCTTAGAATTAAACATTTTTTCTTTTTAACTTCTGGACATTATGTTTACTTCTGTCATCACTCTGAAAACTTTACCTTCTAATTGTATAAATAGCTGCTTCCTTGCCTGGACCTTAAGCTCTTGGAGAGAAGAGGGCATTGTTTATTACGATGTTTCTATGCTTGGTGAGTACTTTGCCAGGAGTTGCTGCTCAAAAAAAAAAAAAAAAAAAATGTTTCTTTGCAATTCCTACTTAAAGTTTGCCTTACAAAATTTGAACTTAATAGACCATTGTCTATATGATATGATTTCAACAATGTTTAGGAAAATTCTTTTTTGTTCCATACCAACACTCAATGAACACATCACTACTAAACTTTATTTTTTTAATTAAATTAAATTTTTTTATGTTATCTTGGTCCCCATAGAGTACATTACTAATTTTTGTAGTGTTCCATGATTCATTGTTTGCATATAACACCCAGTGCTCCATGCAGTATGTGCCCTCCTTAATACTCATCACTGCGCTAATCCATCCCTCCACCCCCTTCCCCTCTAAAACCCTCAGTTTGTTTCTCAGAGTCCATAGTCTCTCATGGTTCATCTCCCCCTCCGTTTCCCCCCCC